AGACAGAGTGCGAGAGACAGAGTGCGAGAGACAGAGTGCGAGAGACAAATGACACAGGGAGAAAGATAAATGACACAGGGAGAAAGATAAATGACACAGGGAGAAAGATAAATCACACAGAGTCAAAAAGTTGTGACAAAGATAGGTTATGGTAACAGAATCACAGTAAGCCAAGGAATTAAGAACTGCAGCTTCCACACATGTTGACGTTTAAATCCCAAACCCCACCACTCTGGTTATAAGGTGAATGGTTGCCACGGAGGATTGTGTCATTTCTGATCGTCCCAGCTGTAGCCAGTACCATGGAATCTTACCAGTCTGCCTCAGAACTGTATTTCTTTTCCAAGTACAGGTGGGCGTTCGGGCAGACCATTTTAATTATCAGCTGGGAACTTGATGCAATTTTCTCCTCTGTGAGAAGCCAATAGTGCAGCACATTGAGTTAACATAGAGGGCTCCTTGAGTCTTTCCACCTTATCACTGCGCCCAGAATCAGTATTGGGAGAGAAAAAGATTTTCTGGCCTTGTATTTTCTGTTCCTCCATCTATTCACCAGTTGTGATTTTTGCATCACTGGACCTCAAGTCCTGACAGCCTCCCTAACTGAGAACAACTCTGTTAAGGCCCAAAATTCATGTTCAAAAGAAGGGGACATTGTGAGTGGGTCAGAAGTGGGAACCCTGACAGATATTGCCCTCTCCTGTCCATTTGCAAGACATCTACCACTAACTGTGGTTGCTAATGTAGTAAAACAGGAACAACAAACAAGTTCAAATCAAAGCCACATTGGGAAGATATTAGCACAGGGGACCAGAGGATTGGCCAAAGAGTTCAATTTTCTGTACAAACATACAAATTAGGAACAGGAACAGGCTGTTTTGCCTCCCTAGTCTGCTTGTCTTTCAATACGGTCAGAACTGCACATTCTCGCTCAAATGCCCAATAGCATTATCTTCCTGTCTATCCCTGCTCTAAAATTACTCAATGATCCTGCTTCCACTACTCTCTCCAAAGACACTCAGCTCTCAGAAGTAAAACCATCATCACTGTCTTAAATAGGAGACCCCTTATTTCAAACGATGCCCTCTTTAAAGGAAGGGAGATTAGTAGAGAGGCAGAGGTGTTTAGAGAGGGAACTCCCAGACCCTGGTGCTTAGCCATCTGAAGGCACAGCCAGCAAGGGCAAAGCAATAAAAATGCAGGAAGTGCAAGTGGCTGGAATTAGAACTGTCTTTTGGATGAGTCATTAAACCAATGCCCAATCTGCCCTCCTCAGTTCTGCACTAGGGCACAAGTTTTCCTTTTTGCGTCTTAAGTTCTGGAGCAGGACTGGAACTTTATGTCCAAAAGGCAAGACTGCTACCTATTGAGCCATGACTGATAAGGCAGGAGGGCAACTGGCCTTTTTTCCCCAGTCACAAGCAATGCTGATTTCCAGCCCATAGAAGTTGCTACTTCAATATTTTTCACAGGGTTTTTCTACTACTGCTGAATTTAAAATCCACTGTGTACATGTCCCAAACCAATCCATAGCACATCTCTCCAACTGGCTAAAGTCAGGTAGCCTATCAGCATAAAGTTTGCAAGTTCAATCTATGATATATTTATTAATTTTTACAAAAGTTTTAAAAATATATACATAAACCATTTCAATTTGTTACCAGGAACCTTGTAAATTATGACCATGATGTAGCCAAATCTCATGCAGCTGAACTAGAAACGACTCAGTAGCTACGACATAGAAGCAGAACCATTTTAATAATGTACAAAGCACGATCGTGAATCAATATTGAATTTATAATGCATCACTTTCATTGAATTTGGCCTCAAGACTGCATTTTGCTTAAACAAAAGTCTAGCAAACCAAAAAGAAAACAGTGACTTGGATTGTGTTATTAGACGAACGGTGCTATTTTTGAAACTGCCAATGGAACAGAAATTTCTACATTATGAGCCAGTGACCCTGCTGAAAATGCTTCTGCACTAAGGCGAAGAACAACACAAGCATTCATGTATAATTAAGAGACACTGATATAATTACACCTTTATAACAGATTAAAATTCCTCTATCACTGACTTGTCACATAATACAATAAACCGGAGCTTGTAATTATTGTTCACCCCCACCCACCTTGTTAGGTGAGGACTTCATGATCATAACAACTTATATTTACATAGCACCTTTAATGCAATACAACGCTCTAAGACTTTCCACACAGGAAATATAAAACATGTGACACTGAGCCACATAAGGCCATTTTACGTCAAATTACCAAAAAATCTACCACCTCAATAAAGTTTTAATGTCTTAAGAAAGAAAGCAAGGTCAGAGGGAGGGAGTTCCAGAGCTTACAGTCTAAGTAACTGGAGACACAGCCACCAATGATAGAGAAATTTAAGACAGAAATATTTGGGGCCGGAGTTCAAGAAGTTGAGATATCTCAGAAGGCTGAGACTTGGGAGCAGATTACAGCAAAAGAGATTTGCAAACAAAGATGAGAATTTTAAAATCAAGGCATTACTTGACTGCGAATCCAATGCAAGTTAGTCAGCAGGCAAACTACCAGGTTTGAAAAGCAATTGTAGATCCCCTCCTGACTCAACTAGCCTGGAAATACAGAAGTGAAAGATGGCCTATAGACACTGGCCAAAACCTTTGAAACTAAACATCTGAAACTAACATCTAAAGAGGAGGTAGGATACACTTCTTGGAAAATTCAGTCCCACAAGCAATAACAATGTAGTCTCTTTCTGCACTTGAAACATCAACAGGCATGTCCACATCTACCCATTACACTGAAATGGAATACAAAGCATGAGTAAACCACAACTGTAGTCAAGAAGCATTGTGTTAAGACCGTATTTGCCCCCCAATACAAATCTAGAGCCTCCAAGTTTAATCTTCAATTTGTGTGATATTAGCAGATTTCAGAGAATGACTGCATTGTTGTACCTATTGGCGAGCGGCAGGACTATCAAGCAGCATTCATTCCTGAAACATTGTCTAGTGATCTTTACTGAAAAAGCCAAATGTGAGTGGACACACAACAGGATCGGGTTCCTGTGTGGTATACTGTCTAGTTAATCAAGCAACCAACACTCACCGTTCAGGTTCACTGCTAAGTGACCACTCTAACACCATACCCCCAGACCCTCAGCAACAGTCACCAAGCTCACAAGAGAATATAGAAGCAGTAAAACTGTGGTCACTTCACACCAATTCCTAAATGAAGAACCTTTCATGTAGTAAATTGTATAGAAGTGCTTCACAGGACAGTAATCTAACACAATTTGACACCAGCCATCCTAAGGAGATGTTCTACATAAGGTGCTGAAAGTTTCCCAACATTTTGCCCTCATTTAAGGCAATATTAGGACACGTTTAAAAATGCAGTCAAAGCAGTAAGCTTCAACAATTAACCAAAACATTGAATTGCAGATGTTGAAGATCTGAAACAAAATAGAAATTGCTGGTGAAATCCAGTAGGTCTGGCAACATCTGTAGAAAGAAAGCAAAGTTATCATTTTGAGTCCAGCTGACCCTTCTTCGGAGCCCTGGAGTTCTGAAGAAAGGTCACTGGACCTGAAATGCTAACTTTGCTTTCTCACCACAGATGCCGCCAGATCTGCTGATTTTCTCCAGCAATTTCCGTTTAAGCTTTAGCTACTGATTGGAAAAGGTGTGAGGTGAGAGTTTAGGGAGGGAACTGCAGAGCGCAGGGAGGAGACAGCTTAATGCGTCGCCGCCCCGAGTGAAGCAAAGGAATGGAAGGAGCGGGTATATGTTATATACTCAGTGATCACTAGTGTCACACAATCTATGACCATCACATGACAAGAACAACTGAAATCTTTCAGGTCGCCCTAACATCTCTGGAGCCTTTAATTGATTAAGCGACTTTATCGACCCCAATGCTTAACAGTCTAGTCTTCCGGACCTCTGTCCTGTCTGGAGGAAAACAACCAGCTCTTTATGAGAAGAAATGGCCGAGAAACAGGATCAACAACTCTAGACACTATTTTAACTATCACCAGCAACTCAAAAGAGATCAGAAGGATTCACCAGTTTTCCCTTCCACAAGGTCAAATCGAGCAAGGTGGACTCTGATACAGAACTATTAAATACTTTTGCTGGGGGTGGGGGTTAAGTAAGATTTACAATCTCGCCTCAATTACTACGTGATTCAAGGAGGCATACTACAGGAGAATGCAACTGTGCACGCTAGGTGTCAGTGTCCTTGACAGAATCTCTCCGGCTAATGTCACAAAGAAGGTGGACAGAGAGGAACAGATTTGTCTCCCTAAGCCTAAATCAGCTCTGCATACACAACATTGCAGCACAGTACTGCAAACCTGCGGGCTCGGGGCTCGCCGCTTCCATTCTTCTCCCCTTCACCTCCCCAGCGCTTGTTAATTTCCGACAAGAAATCGGACGAGTGCAACTGAAGGAGAGGGGAGTTCATCACCCAACACTCATCCCAATTCCCCTGTCCACCCCTCCCAACAAAACCCTCGCCCGCCAGCAACACAAAATACAACACAGAGAGAAATAAGCACTTCTTTCCGCGTGATCTTAGATCAAGCAGTCGTTGCTTTTTCTTCTGCTTCCTCTGCCTCCCCATGCATGGTCTGAGGCATGCTTGCTTTCTCGGCCTAGTTCGTGTTTAAATGAAAAAACTAAGCGAAAACTATTTCAGTCTTGCAACCGGGGAGTCGAGTGTGCGTGTGTGTATGGGGGGCTTGGGAATGAATGGGGACATGTGTCCGATTCAATGTATCCCTTTTCTCAACATTCCACTCTGTCCAACTTGATACAAAATGTATCCAATACTCACCGGCTGCACAGAGATGCTAAGTCCCAGATAGCAATGTTAGTGGCGACGTTGTTGTCTGTCTGTCTGTCTGTCTGCGCTGCTCGTTGCTTCCTCTCCTCATGGGAACTGAACCGATCTCACTCCGATGCGTCACTGGGAGGAGGGAGAATGAGTGGAAAATGGGGAGGGAACAAGAAGTCTGGGCTGGAACCGGCCGCAATGAATGAAAGCTTAAGTCACTGTGGCAATAGAGATCCAAAGCTCACCCCGCCCATCTCCAACCCAGGAAGTGAGTGAACTGCGTCTGGACGGCAATATAAACACTTCCACTCCTCTACAAAATGAGGAGCAGGTTATGAAAATTCTGAATGGTGCAAAATGATCACAGGAGAGAGAAAGAAAATATCTTGGTTGGGTGCATTAAATAGGAACCAGCGACAACGTTAATTAAAGTTTAAAAACACTGCCAATGTTGGAGACTGTTTTAGAGTCATACAGCATGGAAACAGACCCTTCGGTCCAACCAGTCCATGCTCTGCTCCTGGCCCGTATCCCTCCAAATCTTTCCTATTCATGTACTTATTCCAAATGTCTTTTACACATTGTAATTGTACCCATATCTATCACTTCTTCTGGAAGTTCATTCCACACGCGAACCACTCTGTGTAAAAAATTTGCCCCTCATGTCTTTTTAAAATCTCTCTCCTCTCACCTTAAAAACGTGCCCTCTAGTCTTGAAATCCCCATCCTAGGGAAATTACACAAGTCTAAAACTATTTTTAGAGGTAGATTGAATTTAAATCATATCTATTTGTTAATCTCTCGAATAGTCAATGTATATAACTGATGGTGGGGTGTAGCAATTCTGATGAAGAGTCATCTAGATTCGAAACTTTAGCTTGCTGTCTCTACATGGATGCTGTCTGACCCACTGGGATTTCCAGAATTTTTTGTTCTCAGTACAGATTCCAGCATCTGCAGTAATTTGCTCCTACATTGTTCATTTGCTGTGGCAACATACATTTTTAAATGTGTGCTGTAGTCTTGAGCTATGGATAGTGATGATAAAGGCTCCAATGGCTTGGAGGAGCCTATGACAGCAGTCAGCATCACTCAGAGAAGGCAGTGGACTGAAACACTGAAAACAGCACAAGGGGAGGTGTCTTCTCTAGATGGCAGTTACTTCTGTAGAAGGGAGGAAGCCGATTTGAGAGCAGTAGTAAGGTTTTCTACTATTCTAGTTTGGATCAATAGATTTTAAATTTGCTGGACAGCAGGTCAATTTGGCCAAGTGGAGTGCACATCCTGCAATTTGCACCAATTGTGCCAATCTTCACAAAGTATCACTGGCTGCACATTTTCAACTTCAGGTTGTCTGCAAGGCAGAAGATGGATCGCATGTTTAGGGAGTTGGTTACACTGCAGGTTAAAAATGTACAAGGAGTGGGTGACTGCAGGGTAGTCTAAGAGCACCAGGCAGCAGTGCAGGAGTCCCTTGCATCTTTGGTGCTTGCTAATCAATAACGCACTTTGCATACTTTGGGCAAAGGTTCCCCAGGAGAGTGCAACTAGAGCCAAGTTGGTGGCATTATGGGTGCTGGAGTGCAGCCTGAACCCAGAGCATCAGGCTTAGAGGCAGGGACATAGTGCATTAAGTATAGGAGTTGTGTTGTACAGGACATTAGTTAGGCCACTTTGGAATACTGCATTCAATTCTGGTCTCCCTGCTGTAGGAAAGATGTTAAACTTGAAAGGGTTCAGAAAAGATTTACAAGAATGTTGGCAGGGTTGGAAGATTTGAGCTATAGCGAGAGATTGAATAGACTGGGGCCATTCTCACTGGAGCATTGGAGACTGAGGGGTGACCTTATAGAGGTTTATAAAATCATGAACAGCATGGACAGGGGGAGTAGAAAAGGTTTTTTCCCCCCAGGGGAGAGAATTCCAAAACTAGAGGGCATAGGTTTAAGTTGAGAGGGGAAAGATTTATTTGGGATTTAAGGAGCAACTTTTTCACACAGAGGGTGGTACATGTATGGAATGAACTGCCAGAGGAAATGGTGGAGCCTGGTAAAATTACAATATTTAAAAGGCATCTGAATGGGTACATGAATAGGAAGGGTTTAGAGGGATATGGACCAAATGCTGGAAAATAGGACTAGATTAATTTAGGATATCTGATTAATATGGACTAGTTCGACTGAAGGGTCTGTTTCCTTGCTGTACAACTCTGTGACTCTATGATTACACACTGCACCACTAAATCTCTGTGTGGCAAGATGCCACAATATTAATCAGATGAATTGATTTGCTTTTGCTTTTGAGAGAAATGTTGGCTGAGATATTAGAAGAATTCCCAGTGGTATAAGGTTCAAGCATAGAAGGAGGTCACAGCTTCTCATATCCAGACGGGCCCTCTGCAACAGCAACAATCCTGGTCCCATACCTTTGCCTTTTCTCTGTAGCCCTGCAATACTTTGTTTCTATTCAGATAATTTTCCAATAACTTTCTTGAAAACCACAATTGAATAAACCACCACCATGCTCTCAGGCAGTGCATTTCAGTATGTAACTACTTATACCCTTATGTTGCTTCTGCTTCTTTGGCCAGCTACCTTCTGGTTTTTGACTCTTCACCATCTTTTCTATACATATGTTGCCAGGCTTCTTTGTTCTTACATCCCTTTGAAAATTGTATTCTTTACTTTAAATTGTCTTTCCACATTCTTCTTACCAAAATGTATTACTTCAAACTTTGTGTTAAATTTCATCTGACATGTGTACAGCCATTCCATCCACCTGTCTATGCCCTCTTAAGGTCTGTCTTCCTCACAGTTCACAATACTGCCAAGTTTAGTGTAATTAGCAAATTCTGAAATTGCACCCTGCACACCCAATTCAGAGTCTTTAGTAAAGATCAAGTGAAGAAGTGGTCCTGGTAATGATCCAGGGGATCAATGTTGTGCAGTCTGAAAAGCAACCATTCACTCAGTTTCACATCACTTGGGTCATTTTCATACCCATTTTGTGCTGCCACTGTCGTGGTCCTTTCTATTCCATGGATTTTGACTTTGCTGAGAAGCCTGTTACTTGTCAAATGCCCTCTGGAAGTCCATATGCACCACATTAACCACGCTGCCTACATCAACACAAAAATCTCAATCAATTTAGTTAAATACCATTTAACTTTTAACAAGTCTGTACTGGCTTTCCCTAATTAATCTATATTTGTCCAAATAACTTTTAATTATGTCCACAATTATCCTTTCTGAAAGAGTTCCCACCACCAAGATTAAACTGTGCTCGCGGGGCTGGTCCATACAACCTTTCTTGAAGAAGGTAGAAATTAAAGGGAAGGAGAACTCAAGAGCTGTTAGTAATAGAGGTAATAGGACCCAAAAAGAAGGTGCAAAAATTGGCATTAGGGCACTTTATCTGAATGCTCGGAGCATTCGAAACAAGGTGGATGAGTTGATGGTGCAAATCATAGCAAATGGGTATGATTTAGTGGCCATTACAGAGACATGATTACAGGATGGTCATGACTGGGGGTTAAATATCCAGAGGTATCAAACTGTACGGAAGGACGGACAGGAAGGTAAAGGAGGTGGTGCTCTGATTTTTAAGGATGATATCAGGGAGGTAGTGAGAGATGATGTAGGTTCTACTGAACAAAACGTTGAATCCATTTGGGTGGAAATTAGGAATAGCAGGGAGAAGAAGTCACTGATAGGTGTGGTCTATAGGCCACCAAATAATGACATCGTGGTGGGGCGGGCAATAAACATAGAAATAGCTAATGCATGTAAAAATGGTACAGCAATTATCATGGGGGATTTTAATCTACATATCGATTGGTCAAACCATGTCGGTCATGGCAGCCTTGAGGAGGGATTCATAGAACGCATCCGCGATAATTTCCTTGAACAATATGTAATGGAACCTACGAGGGAGCAAGCTATCCTAGATCTAGTCCTGTGTAATGAGACAGGAATAATTAATGATCTCACAGTTAGGGATCCTATTGAAGGAGCGATCACAGTATGGTCGAATTTAAAATACAGATGGAGCGTGAGCAGGTTAAATCCAGTACCTATGTCCTGTGCTTAGACAAAGGAGACTAGGAAGGAATGAGGAAGGAGTTAGCTAAGGTAGAATGGGAGCAAAAACTTTATGGTGGGTCAATTGAGGAACAGTGGAGGACTTTCAAAACGATTTTTCACAGTGCTCAGCAGAAGTATATTCCAGTGATAAGGAAGAACTGTAGGAAAAGAGAGAGCCAGCCATGGATGTCTAAGGAAATAAAGGAAAGTATCAGATTGAAAAAAAACACATACAAAAAAGCTAAGAGTAGTGGGAAACGAGTAGACTGGGAAACCTTTAAAGGCCAACAGAAAGCCACAAAAATAGTTATAAAGAAAAGTAAGATAGATTATGAGAGTAAACTAGCTCAGAATATAAAAACAGGCAGCAAAAGTTTCTATAAATATGTAAATCATAAAAGAGTGGCAAAAGTAAACATTAGTCCCTTAGAGGATGAGAAGGCTAATTTAATAACAGGGAATGAGGAAATAGCCGAGACATTAAACAGTTATTTTGTGTCAGTCTTCACAGTGGAAGACACAAATAACATGCCGAAAACTAATGGCAAGAAGGTTATAGCAGGTGAGGACCTGGAAACTATCATTATCACTAAGGAGGCAGTGTTGGCAAGCTAAAGGGGCTAAAGGTAAACAAGTCTCCTGGCCCTGATGAAATGCATCCCAGGATACTAAAAGAGGTGATGGGGGAAATAGCAAATGCACTAGTAATTATTAACCAAAATTCACTGGACTCTGGGGTGGTTCCCGCAGATTGGAAAACAGCCAATGTGACGCCACTGTTTAAAAAAGGAAGTAGACAAAAAGCAGGTAACTATAGGCCAGTTAGCTTAACTTCGGTAGTGGGGAAAATGCTTGAATCTATCATTAAGGAAGAAATAGCAAGACATCTGGATATAAATTGTCCCATTGGGAACACCCAGCATGGGTTCATGAAGGATAGGTCATGTTTAACAAATTTGGTGGAATTCTTTGAGGACATTACTTGCATGGTGGACAATGGGGAACCTGTGGATGTGCTGTATCTGGATTTCCAGAAGGCATTTGACAAGGTGCCACACCAAAGGCTGCTACATAAGATAAAGTTGCACGGTATTACATGTAATGTATTAGCATGGATAGAGGATTGGTTGACCAGTAGAAAGCAAACAGTAAGGGTAAATGGGTGTTTTT